GTTTTCAAGTTGCTAGGACTGAGTTTCAAACTATGTTTAGCTACTTAGGATGCAGCTCCCAAGGCACAGCAGTTAACCACCACACTACAGGACTGGCCCAAATACAATGTATCTTTGAATAAAGTCAATCAAGATGTCTAGTTTTCTGGGAGAGGTGTAAACTTTGAGATGAATTATTCTTGCAAATCTTTTAAAAACAAAACATTAAAATTAACATAATCAAAGTACTTGACTATAACAAATCAAAACCAAAATTTATTAACTTGGGCCAGATTGATCCTACATGGTTTAAGTCTCAGACTTAGTTGTTTGAACACACCAGGCACATATGCGTGCCCCAAATCACAAGAGAATAGAGAAGGGATTGTGGTATGAGCTTCCCCAAGGCACAGTGCTTTCTCATTTTCTCTGTCTCTTCTGAGTGCATATAACCTCTAGCAAATTTAAAAAAACAAATACCTGACTTTAAGGTCCTACAACATATTTATTTTTTTAAGAATTATTCTCTTTAACTTTATTTTAATTGGACTAGAGACAGACAGAGTGATTGAGTGAGTGTGAGAGAGAGACAGAGAGAAAAAAGTGAGAAAGCAAGTCACCAGGTATGAGACCTGAACCATGGTCAGCCATGTGGGAGTCCAGCGCCCTTAACTACCATGTTACCTGCCTGTCCCAAGGTCCTACAGTATCTGCAGTTAACATTAAAATCTCTAGAGCAGAGATCATGTTCATCTAATACATTTTGTACATTATTTATGTCACTGCTTTGTGTAGTATAAATCTAGCTTTAATTTGTTTCATATGCTTTAGATATTCTGGCAAAAAAGGTTTAACTCTGGAAACTGTAAAAAAATGAACACTGGTGGGGCCAGCAGGTGGCATGGTGGTTAAGGTGCTGGATGCCCACATGGCCAACTACGGTTCAAGTCCTGGACTTGGAGGCTTGCTTTCTTACTTTTTCTCTCTCTGGTGAATTAAAAAATAATAATAAATAAAATTCAGTAATTCTTAACAAAACAAAACCACTGGTAACCATACTTATTATTTTTAAAGAAACCACACAAGTTTTTGATTGTTGCTGCTACATATTTTACTCACAGGTTTTCTCTTATATACTGCTATGATTCGTATGCCCTAACCCCAAAATCATGCATTGAGATTTGGTTGTGATAGAATTAAGAGGGTAAAACTTAATCATATTAGGGGTTGAAAGGGCCTTTGGAAAGAGATTAAGATTAAGGTCATTAGTGAGAGGAGAGAAGATGATTAATTCCTGGTAGGTTTATAAGGACAGGGAATGCAAAAGATACTCATGAACACAAAGGATCTGTTCTGCTCTTGCCCTTGTGATAGAATGCTCTGGGACTCTGCAAAACCCCACCAGATGTGGCTCTTGGGCCTTGGAGCTCCAAACTGTGAGTTGCATATATTTCTATATTTCTAAATCACCTAGTTTCAGGTGATTTTTTATTAGCAACAAAAAGGATAGAACACTCCCTCTATTCCTAGTTTCTCAAATACACCAAAAGTTAGTCTGTTTTTATAAATAGGGCACTTTTCCACTTAATTTACAGTCTCTGAGTATATACTATATGCCATCCATATTAGTAAGAATAAGCACAGTGTATTTGTTATGTTTAAAGTCTTGTCTACACTGATTTCTTTTTTCAAATGTATTTCGAGAGGGTAGAGTGGACACAGAGTCTTCGCTCTGTATTCAACACCTATCCTTAGCCAGCCCAGATCACTGGTAGGCACCCATGCACCCAGCATTCACAGGGAGGCCTGGGACGTGAACCTGGGACCTTCCCATGTGGGTCCAGCATCACGAAGTGTTATACAACTGCTGTACTGCTGTCCCACCTTTGAGCCCTGCACTGATATTTTTCCCCATTGTTTAAATAACCAAAAGTTATCTGTATGAGCTACTACCAAAGTGACTATACCTGGAAAAACAGTAAAGGTAAAATGAAAGATGTTCATGGTTTGGTATTTGTATATGAACACAAATTTATGCATCTAAGAATTAATATCTTTTTCCCTAGTTTTTTTTTTTTTTCACATTTTTGTATTTATCTTAATATGTTTTTTAGATTTCAAAACACAGAAGTACTTGGGATTAGCAGGTGGCATGGTGATGAAGGTGCTGGACTCTTACATGGGCAACTGTAGTTTGAGTCCCAGATCTGGCAGTTTGCTTTCTCACTTTCCTTCTCTCTATATATATATCCTGTCAAATAACAATAAATAAATAATGATGAAGAATAAAATGAAATAATTCTTAAAAAAACAAAAACAAAAACAAAACAAAACACAAAAGTATCATCATGTACATGTGTTTTCATTGGCCAGGTTGTCAAAATGAGCTTCCATAAAAAACTCGTAACCAAAAACATGATCTTAGTGAGAGATATCACTAACTGGCAATCTAAAAAATTGTGGATGTGCATTTTTACAACACTCGTATGTATGTTATCACACATATTAAAAGAACAGGCTTGAGCTCTTCAGTGAAACTGCATCTTATGATATCTGTAAACACAGTAAATATAAAATACAGAACCTGTATTATATATTCTGGTAAGTATATACTGACATGATCTCTACTTTTTTAAAGATTTATTTTATTTGTTGTTGTTATTTTTTTATTTGACCAGAGACAGACACAGAGAGAAAGGGAAAAGTGATAATAAAGCAAGCTGCCAGGTCCGGGACTCAAACCACAATCGGCCACGTGGGAATCCAGCACCTTTACCACCAAACCACCTGCCGGCTCCAATGTCTATTTTTTTTTTAAAGTTTGAAAATTCATTTCTTTCAAGTGCAAGAACAGAGAGAGAGAGAGATCACTGCCAACAGGGTCTTGATGCTGCAATCCACTCCCAGCTTCAGTCATCCCTGGATCACGGGCACTCGAGTGCCCAGCATGCAAGCCTGGCATACTCAATGGGTCTCCAAAAGTGAATCTGGGACTTTCCCGTGTGGATTTTGGATCACAGAGCACCATGTTTTACCACTGCAGCAGTGTCTAGTCCAACATGATGTCTACATAGAACATATTTTCCTATTACAAGGGAAGCCCTAGACATACATATGCAAGTATAGCTACATGACAGAAAGCATTTACTCACATTTACGTCTGTGTGATGAATTAAAACACAGAGGGCTGGAAGAATCTGAGAAGAAAAATACATAGATTTAAAAATACACGTAGATACAGAACATGAAAACATACATATGTTATCTATTTAAAATCTTTTTATTTACCTCCTGGATGGTTTCCATTGGTGGTGGTGGGTCTTTGTGGCGACATAAGTTGACCATAACCCAAGTAACATTTCTTAAGAATGTTATAGGAATAGATGGACTTATGAAGGAAAGTAGAGGTTTCACAACTCCAAGACTTATGACATAATCTCTACACTGGGGCCCATCGCCTGGAGAAAAAAGGATTTTTTAGTTCAATAAAATATATTGACAGCATTTTCAGAAAACATAAAGCACAGGGTACAATATGCTGCTTCTGATGTTACCCAGATATACTATTTAGTTTTTAAGCTCTATGTGATAATGACTAAGTTCACAATATAGGTTTTTGAGCAAGAGAATCAACATAACATTTTAAGGTATTCTTTTGCACATTATTCACATCTTTGTAAGCTGCTTCTGATAAGGTTTAATGCCATCTAAAGTCTGGAAGCCCAGACTTCTTTAAAATACTGTGTGGGCAGAGAACTGTTGCTTTTATCTTTTCATCTCCATGGTACTTTCAGTTTGTTCCTCTATATTTATAGGGGATTGGTTCCAGGACCCTCTGAACTCACAGTCGACGCCAAAATCTGAGGATGCTCAAATACCTCACATAAAATGGCATATGAGAGCTGATCTTCCATATCCACAGATATGGAATCCGGGGACACGGATGCCTAAATGTACATCAAACTATTATTATCATTATTATTTGGGGAGGTTTTTGCTGTAGGGGATGTGCACTCATCAGAAAGACAGAGAGACAGAAACTGAGAAATCACCCCCCATGCCGCAATCCCTCCTCCTCCATTCTCCTCTTGGGATCTTGGCACGCACACACATGCGCCCCACGTGAGTTTAAGCCATCAGGTCCGGGACCTGAACTGTGGTCAACTACATGGGAGTCCAGCGACAAAGCCACTATTCCAACTGCTGGTCCCCATCAAAATATTATTAAAGAGGTGGGCCATCTCTGTGGTGCTGTGGTAATGTGCTGCTCAAGAGAAGCAGGATCCCACAAGATAACCATAGTTCAAATTCCTAGCCCAGTCTGCCTGGAGTATGTTAGGCACGTGTAATGGTCTAGGATTCAATGGGCTGGAGGACAGGACAAAGGGGATCATGGTATGACCAGACCCTATGGAGGGTGCACATCATCTTTCTCCCATTCTGTGCATGAGCCCACACACTATTATGAATAAAGTAAAAACGAATTGAATACTACCAAAGAGAAAATATTTGTAGAATTTACACTTAAGATCCAATATCAGATCAGAGCATTAAAAGCATGAACTATGGCCCAGCAGGTAGTGTGAAGGTTAAGGCACTGGATCCTAAATGGTCCACTGTGTGGTTTGAGTCCTGAATTTGGCAGGTTGAAAATCATGCTGCCCCAAATACTGAAAGAAGCACGGAGGAGAAGGGATTGTGGCATGGTCATCCCTTCTGTCTCTCTGTCTTTCTCTGTCTCTCAACAAGTGTACTCACCTTAAAGCAAAATTCTCTCAAAAAGATACCATATCCATTTTATCTTTTTGTATCTAGTCCACCCATGACTACTTAAGTAGTTATAAAATACTTATATGATTTAGGTATGTTTTATGCTAGGATACATTTTAGTTCTCTTTATATCATAGAAAGGGGTAAGAAATAAGGCAGCAAAAACTTAATCTGGTAATTTTTTTCCCATACTGGCAGTTCTGAGGAGTCTAAAATGAGTATTTTCATATCTCTTGTAAACTTTAGTACATTAAAATTTAGTAATGTATAAAATATAGTAATATTGTTCCTTATTATTAAAAATCACCATGGAAATGTTCTGACAATCAAACGAGCTAAGCAAAAAGATTACTGTATCTTTCAGTTTTTCTCTAATAAACGACTGTAGAAAGAATAGAAACTTTAGGGGACCAACAAGTGGCGTGGTGGTTAAGGTGCTAGACATTCCCACATGGCTGACCATGGCTTGAGTCCTGGACCTGGTGGCTTGCTTTCTCACTTTCTCTCTCTCTCTCTGTGTCTGTCTTTGGTCAAATTAAAAGAAATGAATAATTTTCTTAAAAAAGGAATACATGTATGCAAAAAGAGCGAACATTTTACCTCCAAATACTGTAGAACAACAAAAAATGTTCTTGCTTACAGTAATATGTCAGTGTAGCGGGACCAGCAGATAGCATAATGGTTAAGTCACCGGACTCTCACTTAGTCGACCATAGTTCGAGTCCCATACTTGGTGACTTAAAACTCACACCAGGTGCGTGTGTGCCCAAAATGTTGAGAGGAGAATGCAGAAGGGATTGTGACGTGGCCCTCCACTCTCGGGGTGATTTCTTGCTTTGGTGAGTGCATGTGCCCTATAGCAAAAACTCTCTGAAAACAAAACAAAACAAAACAAAACAGTGTAGCTTCATACTACAAATCACAGTGACATTCCAGATACAGAAATTAAATTTGGCAATTTTCATGACACAGACATGGTGCACAAGGCTGTAAAACACCACTCTGGAAGGCTGGAAGCCATGTGGAAGGTCAGGGGTTTCGACATCAAGTGTATCTATAATTCTGGCTAGGTAGAAGGCTTGCAGGGGGGAACTGTGGCATGATAAGACCTGTTAAGGGTGCCTGTGTGTGTATCTGTCTATCTCTCAAGAAATAAAATGAACTCACACACAAAAAAATTATAACGTGGCAACAGCTCTCCTAACATGCTCTTAGAATCACATGGAGTGCTTATTAGAACATAGAACTCCGGACCCACACAGTTTGTTTCAGTAGGTCTAAGCTAGAGTCCAAAAATTACACTGAGAACCACTACTCTAATTATTAGTTCTCCCTTATCTTTTCAAAGTAGCTTTCTAAATTGTACAGAGTAATTATTAAGTAAGTATTAACTGGTTTTCTTTCTTTCTTTTTATATTTTTGCCATAGAATGTATGTACTTACTGGAGGGAGACAAGGAGAGAGAGAGAAAGTGAGAAATCAGCCCCTAGATGGAACAGCCACACCACAATCTCTTCTCCATTCTCCTCTGGGGATTTTGGGCATGCACGCCCGGCTTGAGTTTCAAGCTGCTGTGTCTAAGTCTTGAACCGTGGTCATCTATGTGGGAGCTCAGCATCCTAACCACGACACCACCTGCTGGCCCTGATATAATGGTATCCTAAGCAATGTAAATGTTTACTCTGCTTACCATGGTTTTACCCTTATAGAGTTAAAATTTCTGAAAGCTATGAACTAAGATATTAATTAAATTTGTACTTGTTAACCAATTTTGAGTTAGAGAATAGGGCAGAAAAACAAGACGATGGGAAGAAGAAAGAAATGGAGTGGGAAAATAAGTCAGAGGACAGAGACTAGAAAAAGAAACACAGGAAGAAAGATGAGAGACATACATAGTAGTTAACGGCTATTTTGTTTCATGGCCCTTTAAGTTCATAAATGGTTGCCAGAGGGAAAATATGACTATGGTCAAAGCAATGGGGCTAAAACTGTTTAACATAGCTAAACAGAAATTTTAACTTTGGCATATAAATTTCAGAATACAGATTGCAAAAGATCAAAATATACCAGGTAAGGGACCAGCAGCTAGTGTAATGGCTATGCTGCTGGACTCCCACGTAGTCAACCAGGGTTCGCGTCCTGGACCCAGTGGCTTAAACTCACGCCAGGTGCTTGTGCGTGCGTGCTCAAGATCCTGAGAGGAGAATGGAGGAGAAGGGACTGCAGCGTGTCCATCACCCCTGGGGGGTGATTTCTCGCTTTGTATCTCTCTGTCTGTCTGGCAAGCACACACACCCTATAGCAAAAAAAAAACCCAAAAACAACAAACCCAAAAAAACCTCTAAAAACAAAGAACAAAATATACCAGGTAATAACTTTTTATTTTATACTCTTGTACAGTGTTTTTATACAAGTATATACTCCATGAAGAATGACTTACACATTAGAAAAGGTTTTATTTTTAAAAGTTTGAATAATACTAGGTATTATATCTCCCTATGAAAGTGTTATAATACTTATCCACATATTATTATTTCTAAGGAATCCTGAGAAAATAAACTTGATAAAAATTAAAAAGAAAAATTTCTGTAAGCTAATCAAGGCAAGTTGTTTTTCCATTTCTACTAACTATTTTCATTTACCTAATATATGATAACAACGATTGTTAAATTAGTAATGTAAGTAAGCTATATACAAACCTATAATGTTTCCCAATGCCCATACTGCTTGCTCACAGACATTCTGATGCGGTGAATGGAGAAGCCTCAGGAAAAGTGGTACAGCATCTGATAGAAGAAAACAAAGTGATTCTTAGTTGAATATACTATATTCTAAACAACAAAAAAAGCTTTTCTTTTTTTGCTGAGACATCAAAAATTACTAGAATGTACTTATATCTTCACTAAATGACTTTTATTATCATTACTAAATTCTGACTAACAAACTACCTAATCAGCATCAAAATGAGTTTTAAAAGACAAGTATCAGATTAAGTTCATAAAATTTTGTTCACAGTTGAGTCTGAATTTAATTTCAATTTTAAGATCGATTCCTGATAGATTAAATATTATCTTAAAGTTTGTAAGAATGTTGAAACCATTTTTTTCTTTTTCGTATGACAGAAGAGGAAAGCAGGCGGGAATGAGATAGGTACAGAGGGAATGGCAGTCATTCTTGACGGGATTTCACATAACTTCTGTCTCCTGCCCCAACTTCCCAGTCAGCAAGGGACACACTGCACCCAGATTGCCTAGGCTGGATTGAGAACAGAACCCAGACACAGCAATACACTCCTGCCTGCACCACTGTGGCTGGATATACTAAAGTAATGTGAATTCAAAAACTTAAATTAACATCATGGGTCTTTAGACGGGTTAGTGACTCTTGGCCAAATAAGACATTTTCAATCAGAAAGTAATTCTGTTGCTTAGCAATGATGGGAAAGAGGAGTTCATATCTGAACAATAATAAAAAACTCTTCTTTCGTCTTTCCAATATTAATTTTGAAAAACACTATTTAAGTATATGTATATCAATCATCCTTACTTATAATAATAATTCATTTATTTTACTATATCAAATGACAGATGAGCAATGTTAAAACGAGTCTCTCTAATCTTTAAAGATTAAAATGAAAAGGAAAAAGAATGAGGGACCAGCAGTTAGCATAATGGCTATGTCACTGGACTCCCATGTAGTCGACTGCGGTTCACGTCCTGGACCTGGTGGCTTAAAACTCATGCCGGGTGTGTGTGCGTGCGTGCCCAAGATCCCGAAAAGAGAACAGAGGAGAAGGGATTGTGGCGTGGCCATCCCCCCTGGGAGGTGATTTCTCGCTTTCTGTCTCTCTGTCTATCTGGTGAGCGCATGCACCCTATAGCGAAAATCTCTCTTAAAAAAAAAAAAAAAGGAAAAAGAATGAAAAGGAATAGTCATAAAACCATAAAATTTACCTAACAGCCAACTTTAAAAACCCTCCCTCCCTCCCCACAAAAAAAAACAACAACAGAACCAAAATCCAAACTAAACCAATCTTAGTAGCATTTAAGGTAAATTATATTTTCTAAGTAATATTATAACACAGTATCTCCACAATAAAATGTTTTCTTGAATAAGACCTTTGTCCCCCATCAAAATTATGTAGGAAATGGTACTTACGATTTTCACAAACTTAGATAAATATACTTCTTACATATCTAGAGAGTATCTTAAAATTATTAATTTATATGGTAGGAGAATAAAATAATATTCATGAAAATATAAATTACTTTCAATAAAATTTTTCCACTTACATCTATTATATTATAGTAATAATATAGTAATAATGAAAAGAAGTTTTCAATCCATTCTTTCAATTGGACTACTTTATAGAAGATTTTGTGAAAATGTATGATAGAGAACTTAGGAAGAGATACTGAGAGGCAGTATGGCAATGGAAAAAAACTTCGCTTACTGATGTCCTATAAATAAGATGTAACTATAATAATGTAATCTGCTACTATAATTAGAAAATATCCTCAGATTTAGAAAGGATTCAGATGAATTTCTGGAAATAAAAAATGTCAGTCACCAGAACAATATAATTAAAGTAACACACTTAAGTTGGCCTAGTTTAATAATCTGATTTGCTTGTATTATTTTATAATAATCTGATGTATATATATTCTTTTATAAGATAAACAGTTAAGCTGTTCTTTTAGGAGACTCATTGTTTTTTATTGATTTCTTCTTTAAAAATCACAATTTTCTTTGCTAATAACCAACTTACTGGACTGAACTACTGCTTGAGTCTGTTCAGATGTTCCAGATGCAATGTTTGTCAAAGCCCATGCAGCTTCGAACTGTAAAGAAGGACTAGAAGAAAACAAAATTTTAAACAGTAGGGATTTTTACATTAGCTCGAATACCTACCAACCATTCCTTCCCTCTAGCATTTTAAATACGTTTGGTTTTAAAAGGTTAACTATCCACCCAACATTTTAAAAATGCAATGACTGTTGAAAACATCTCTTCAGTATAAATAGCATAAACCTCCTTGGACTCATTTTTAGAAAGAATTCTTTAGTGAGGTATGTACACATTACTCCCCAAACAGTTTTCTCAAGTCAAACTATCTGATCACACTAGTTCTTGCCAATGTTCAAAGCTTAAGTTAAATTTATCATTCTCAAGTTCCTCTTGGCATTAACGTATCTTGCATTTTCACTTTGACTTTTAAACTGTATCCCAAAGTCCCTTTTTTTCATTAAAAGTCATAGTATAAATTCCTGTCTTCTCCAAGATTTTTAATTTATCTTCTATAATACTTTTTTAAAACTTTGCTACATGGTGTGTGCATTCACCAGAGACATACAGAGAAACAGAGAGAGGGAAAGGGAAGAGAAAGCACTCCACACTGGGGCATGGTCATGCTACAATCCCCTCTCCTCCATTTCTCCATCACACTGAGGCATGCACCCACACAAACACACATACCCAGCATGTTTTTCAAGCCCCTGGGGCCTGGATTCTAACTCTGTGGTCAGCCATGAGGGATCTGGCTCCCTTAACCACTAGGCCACAAGGCAGGCCCCGTTCTAATAATTTTTAAGAAATGTACTTACTTGTCATCTCTTTCAAGACAATGGACTAAAATAGGCAATATTCCAGATTTTATTAAATCATCAATTGGTGGATTTCGATCACTGGACAAAAGCTTCCTGTATAAGAGAGAGACACACAAACCGCTTGTGAAATGTAATGACTACAATATAATTAAATTTTAATTCATATTTGATAGATACTTTGGTTTGAATGTGTTCCCTCTAAATCCAAGTGTTAAAATTTGGTGAGCCAGTCTAACAGTGTTTGAGAGGTGGAATATTAATCCAATAATAGTAATAAGAGGTGATACTTTGGGAGGTGATAAATTCATCATGGTGGGCCCCCACAATCCAGTCCTGGTAATTTAATGTAAGAGCACAAAGAAACACAGACATAGATACACACAAACTTTGCCACATGATGCTCTGCACCATCTTGGAACACTGCAGAGAACTCCAACCAGCAAAAGACTCTCAGCAGATGTGGCCCTTGGACCTCCAAAACCGTGAACTAAATAAACTACTCACTATCCTTTATAAATTACACAGATTCAGGTATTTGTTATTAGCAACACAACAGACTAAAACAAAACGGATGACATAAATGGAAATATCCGACACAATCCCCCTCTCTGAAAGTTACGTTTTATAATTTATATAATGCAACCTTTTCTCTAACTGTAAAAAGATCAATTTATAAATTATTAGAGTTGACCAATAATTAGGAAAACATGATAGACATGAACCATTTGCCACTTTTACTAGTAAAACTATTACCTCAATAAAGTCCTGAATATGACTTATGTAAACAACTAAATATTTGGGGGTGCTACCCTTTGGACTTAATTTTGAACTCAGAGAAAAAAAGTGGACAGATTTCTTCCACATAGTTATTTACCTTGCTAAGAAATTAAGAGGTCACCAAAATATCTAAAATTGTCCATACTAGCAGACAACAAAGTCGAAGGACAAAAGCAAGCAGGCTGTTAGTATTGTGCCAGTATTCATTTATAGCTGACATCACACATTATTTAAAAACGACTCATCCTACTCATTAAAGGTCAGAAAAGCCCACATTCTCATCTCAGCAACTACAGAGAAATGAAATAAGAAAAAAAAAAACAAACAAAAACCACATAAGAAAATATCCAAAGAGATGCTGAGGTGAACAAAACAGACACATCTCTTCTTATTAACAAACAAACAAAACTAGTCCCAATTTTCACATTTTCTCTCACTCATAAAAGAAATTAATAAACTTAAAAGAAACAAAAAAGAATAAAAGCATAACATTAAAAAGAAAATAAAAAAACGATCATGGGTCAGCCACGTGGGAGTCCAGTGCCCTAACCATCATGCAGATAGCTACCTGCACTGGTCTCCCACATGGCTGACCCACGATTCAAGTCCTGGACCTGGAGGCTTAACGATCACACTGGGTACATATGCGTTCCATGTATGCCCCAAATCCCAAGAGAATGGAGAAGGGATTTCAGTGTGGCAATCTGGGGGATGATTTCTTTTTTTTTTTTTTCTTTCTTCTGTTTTTTGGGAGAGGTTTTTGCTATAGGGTGCGTGCACTCCCCAGAAAGACAGAGAGACAGAAAGCGAGAAATCACCCCCTAAGGGGGATGGCTATGCCGCAATCCCTTCTCCTCTCGGGATCTTGGGCATGCATGCAATTGCGCCTGGCATGAGTTTAAGCTGCCAGGTCCGGGACTTGAACCACAGTTGGCTATGTGGGAATCCAGCGACATAGCCATTATGCTAACTGCTGCTCCCTGGGGGGATGATTTCTCATCTTCCCTGTCACTCACTCTCTGGTGAACATACATACCCTATGGCAAAAATGTAAAAAGAAAAGAAATAAAAAGAAAAAGAAAGGTCTTAATCTAGTCTATCTCAGTTGAGGGTTCCATGAGATCAAAGATCAAGATTTTTTTTTTTAATTGCCAGAGAATATATGTGCTTGCCAGAGATAGAGATAGAAAGACAAAGAGAGAGATCAGAACAGAATGCTCCTCTCCAATGGGGCACGGTTATGCTACAACTCCTTCTCTATTTCTCCATACTGTTAGGATTCTAGGCATGCGAGTACACATGCCTGGAGTGTTTTTCAAGCCTCAAGAGCCAGGTTTTGAATCATGGTTAGTCATGTGGGAACCAGATCCTTGAACTATTAGGTCATGGGGCTGACATAAAGTACATTTTTTTCTTTGCCAAGGGAAGAGTGTGCTTGCCAGAGACAGAGTGAGGGAGAGAAGAAAGGGGAAAATGGTCACACCACAACTCCTCCTCCTCCATCTTTCAGGATTTTAGACATGCATGCACGTGTGTCCAGCATGTTTCTCAGTCAGGACTCAAACCATGAGGTTGGTTTTGTGGAATCTGGCTCCCTTAACCAACAGGTCACAGAACTGGCCCAAAGTACAGACTTTAAATTTTAAAAACTTGTGAATTTAAAGTGACAGTTCAGGGCATTCAAACTCAACAAAAATGTTAAAATTTGTCAAGAATTTTAATAGTGTAAATCAGAGAACATTTTTTAAAAATTAATTCAGTTGGTTTAGGACTGTTACCTATTGTTTGTCATTAAAGTTAAATTCAATTCACAGGACTACTAACATCACAAAACAGAACTCATACATAGGTTATAAAATTTAAATATGTCCTCAAATTTAACTTACCTAGCAGCTTGAACTGCACTTAATTGAATTCCTTGGTTATCACTTGAAGCATTCTATACAAAACAAAACAATTTATAATGTAGATACACAATAATTAGCCAGAGTCTAAGAAAGACAAAAAGGCAGGGGGTGGGGGGCAAACTTACTTGAACAATAGCTTCTAGAGAGGTATTTTGCTGGCAAAAAAAAGAGAAAAAACTAAGTTAAAAAGCCACCTTAAAATTCTGACTTGTGTCTATTTTTCACTGATATTGTTAAGTTATCAGAACAACAATAGCTTACCACTCTATAATCACCATCTATATCTGAGTCTTCACAGATATCTTCATGTGGTACATTCCTTCTCTTTAAGAGATGTTCATCTCTTTTATTCTTAAAAACAAAGAAAAGAAATTCAGTTTAGAAAAATGCTAAATACTTTCACACACATGTTAGGCAATCCTGTGCCTATGGAGAAATATAAAGTACATTTTAAAACTAAAATTCAAATGCAAACCCAAATTGTGAATTAAACACTTAAGCAACACTAATTTGAGCCTCAAATCCCAAATACCGCATTTCAAATGAACCATGAACTAAGTAAAAACAGGAAAAATAAAAGTTTGGCTGAAGAAGATAAGTATAGAGTTTAAGCTAAAACAAAACGTATTAATACATATTTATTTGTAAGTACTAAACAATTTTATATACCAGCTGGGAGCTTTTCTTTATTACCTAAAAGCAAAGTCAAAGCAAAAGTTGGGCAGTTCAAAATTAAAACAAAACCGGGACCAGGAGCTAGCGTAATGGCTATGTCGCTGGACTCCTGCGTAGTCGACTGCGGTTCGAGTCCCGGACCCGGTGGCTTAAACTCACGTTGGTCGCGTGTGCGTGTGTGCCCAAGATCCTGAGAGGAGTATGGAGGAGAAGGGATTGTGGTGTGGCCATCCCCCCTGGGGGGGTGATTTCTCGTTTTCTATCTCTCTGTCTGGCGAGCACATGCGCACTATAGCAAAAACTTCTTCAAAAAAAATACATAAAACAAAATCAACAATGTCTGACAAAATCACAGGTCATTTAAATTTCACTTAAAATGTCAGGGGCAAATTTATCAACAGTCTCAACTATAACCTACTTTAACATTTACAAAGTTGATGAAAGTTGTAAGTATCTTTCTGGAAGTAACTATTACCTATTAATAGCAGAACTATTTAATGTAACTGTATGACTTATATTTATATGAATCATTAAATATTACAAAAAAAACCCAATCTAAGTTGTTGCTTACATCTATTTTTAATTACTGGACAAGTTGTATCCTGTCAATTTCAATAGCTTATCAAATTCAGTCAACATCTTCCCTTTTTCAAAGGAAAAAGAAATACTAAGTACTTGAGATTTTAAAAAGTTTATAATTCAGTAAATAAAAGTTATAGGATAGGTTACACATTTCTTGGGGAGGGACAGGTCACACATTTAAAATGAAAATATAATACAGTTATGTGTTGCTTAACAATGAGACTATGTTGAGAATGTACTGTTAGGTGATTTTATTCTTTTGTTAACATTATGGAGTATACTATATAGAATAGCCTACTACACACCTTGGCTCTATCAATCATGATACACTTGACAAGGTGCTTTACTGGCAACATTAGCAGTGGATATCGTATGCTTAGGGGCCATGATGAACAAAACATTATAGCATTAAGTCAAGCATAAGAGAAAATGATGCAATCAAGACACTTGGCAAACATGAGATGGAAGAAGCTGCTGCCAGTAGGACACAACATACTGTTCCATAGTAAATGTTTTCTTAAAAATTGGAATAGACTTCTAAAATAATGATAAATAGTATAGGGAAGACCTAAATCAGTGTTGTTTAATGTTGTTATCAGGTATTATATACTGCGCTACATTTTTTTATACAACTAGCAGAGCAGTAGGTTACTTACACCAGCAGCAGCACAAACACATTATACTATTGCACTACAACATTATAACATCGTTGGGCAGTAAGAATCTTTCAGCTCCATTCTAATCTTCTCGAACCACAATCTGTGCAGTCTGTCATTGACAGGAACATTATATGGCACATACATAATGTAATGTTAAAATTAGGCCTGGAAGTACCAATATTAGTTAGACTCACCTTCCTTAATTCAACTACAACTTCATTTCGTTGCCTTCTCATAGTCTATGAAAAAATTAAAAGAAAAGTATTTTAGAAATCACCTAAAATTCCACTCAAGAAAACCACTGTACAGTCCTAATATTTTTCTAGTCATATATAAACAAAATTACATTTTACTTATAATTACTTAATGTTATATATTGGTAGTTGATTTTCTATCTTCATTTTATTCATATTATAAAATATAGAAAATCTCTTTGAAATTAGTAGATCTATATTAGAAATCTAAAAACTGTAACAATGTTTATAAAAAATACAGAGGTACAAAGAATTAAGAACCCATAAGTTCATCCTTATCCTCTCATGTACCAATAACACTTAAAAAAAAAAAAAAATACGTGTACCAAGTGAGTAAATTCAATGGCTTAAAAAAAAAAAAAAGGAAAAGAAACATTCCCGCGACCCCATTCCTTCAAAAAAATTTCCCTAAAAGTAAATGCTGCTAAATTTACTATAATTCTAGAACTCATAGCTATTCTGTTTTTCACCTTATTTTGATTTATTTATCTTTAGATCTTAGTAATCTTCCATAATGGCATACACACATCTATTTCATTCTTTTCAACAACCACATAACTGTTCAGTCATGTATTAGGAGACTTCAAAACGTTCACGGAAAATGAAATTAAAGTATGAGTTTATTTTGGTGCATAATTTAAAAAAAATTCATGCACAGTTTTAAAATACTCTGTATTTTCTTTTTTTTTTGGAGAGGTTTTTGCTATAGGGCGCGTGTGCTCACCAGACAGAGAGAGAGAGAGAGAGAGAGACAGACAGAAAGCGAGAAATCACCTCCCAGGGGGGATGGCCACGCCACAATCCCTTCTTGACTCCGTTCTCCTCTTGGGATCTTGGGCACGCATGCACATGCGCCCGGTGTGAATTTAAGCCAGCCCGGGACCCGAACCACGGTCGACTACGTGGGAGTCCAGCGACATAGCCATTACGCTAACTGCTGGTCCCAAATACTCTATATTCTCCATAAACGCTGTGAAGATTCCTAATACTGTGACCCTTCTCTTGTTTTTTTTTTTTTTTTTTATAAATACACTTTGATCATTTCACAAGTAACCTAATATATGGATGCTGCTCACTGCAAAAGAGTCAAATGGTCAGAAACAACTTAAGTTATATGGCTGTTTCTTATATAGGTTCACCTCAGTCTTTCAAACTTTTCATTTTTAACAACCATATTCCACCCCCATATCAAAAATGGCAATTCCACCTTCCAGGTGCACAGACCAAAAACCTTGAAGCCATTCTTGATTCTTTTTCTCTCACAGTACATGTCCAGTCTATTAGCAAAATCTGTTGGTTCAACTTCACAAACATATCCAAAATCTAACCATGTGATCACTAACTTCTTTACTACTACTCAGCCCAAATCACCACCATCTCTTGTCTAGACTACTGCACAAGTAGTCTCCTAACTTCTATTCTTGCTTTCTATCTTCCTCCCCAAGTCTACTTGTATCACACCAGAATAATTCTCATAGGGAGGTGGGAGGTGTTTTATTTTTATTTTTTATTTTTGAGAGATTTTTGCTATAATACACATGTGCTTGTTGGAGAGAGACAAACAGACAGAAAGCAAGAAATCACTCCCCAGGGGGATAGCCAAGCTGCGGTCCTTTCTCCTCTCTGGATTTTGGGCATGCACGCAAACATGCCCAGTATGAGTTTCAAGCCTCTGGGTCTGGGACTCAAACCACGGTAGACCACATGGGAGACCAGCACCTTAACTACTATGCAACCTGCTAGTCCATTAAATGGAAATTTTAAACAAGTGAGGTCAAAATCCTTTTTTTCAAAGAACTGTTAACAGAAGATAAAACTTGGCTTCATCAGTACAGGCCAGAAGACAAGCACAACCAAAGCAGTGCTACCAAAAGGTGGAACTGGTCCAGTCAAAGCAAAAGCAGACAGATCAAGAGCAAATGTCATGGTAATAGTTTTTTGGGGAGAAGCTCAAGGCACTTTGCTTGCTGACTTTTGGGAGGGCTGAAGAATGGCAACATCTGCTTACTAGGAAAATGTTTTGAGAAATTTAGCTTAACTTTTAACAAAAAAATGTGCAGGAAAGCTTTATCATAGCATCTTTCTCCACAAAAATGTTCCTGCTCATTCCTCTCATCAAACTTTACGGTCCTCATTTCACTCCTCCTGATTTTTTTTTTTTTTTTTTTTTTTTTTTGGAGAGGGTTTTTTGCTATAGGGTGCATGCCAGAAAAACAGACAGAGAGACAGAAAGCGAGAAATCACCCTCAGGGGAGATGGCCACATTGCAATCCCTTCTCCTCCATTCTCCTCTCAGGATCTTGGGCACACACGCAGACATGCCTGGTGTGTTTTAAGCCACCGAGTCCGGTACCCAAACTGTGGTCAAATACATGGGAGTCCAGTGACATAGCCATTATGCCACCTGCTGGTCCCTCTAATTTTTGTTTCTTAATATTAAAAAACATGTTTTAATAGGCAGAGGACTCATGTGCTCATCAGAGTGACTGAGTCAGAGAGCGAGTAAGCGCCATCTCCTAGTGGGGCATGTTTACACAATTCCTTTAGCTTCATTTTCCCACTTGGTTGGGATCCAGGGAATGCACACACATGCACCTGGCATGTTTTTCAGGTAGCTGGGGCCAAGACTCAAATTGTAGTCGGCCATGAGGGATCTGGTTCCCTTAACCATGAGGGAGCTACAGGTCTGGCTCTAAAGTATTTTAAGAGGCACCAATTTTTCTTCTGCTGGTAATGTAAAAAAGATTACACTGGCATGGGTTGATATACTACCTGCCAACAGAATACCTGTGAATTTACATATATACTGAGGCAGTCGCAATATTGTGATTTAGAACTCCAAAAGGCTGCCAAACTGGCTAAAGGCCTATTTATAGACCTAACAGCTATCTAAATAACAAAGACTATAAATAGTGGTGGTAGGAGGAGAAGCAAGAGAAGAGAGAGTTTAGGCAGATTACCCAGAATTTTTACATTTCTTTGCCTGTCACAGAGCTATGACTTTATAAACTTGGGCAAAAGTGAACAAGAAATCGCCAAAAAAAAAAAAAAAAAAAAAAAAAATATGCAAAGAAGTGAACACAGAAGAAATAGTATTTCGGGCTGGCCCCACAGCCTAATGGTTAAGGGAGCCAGATCCTATACTGTCAACTGTAGTTAAAATTCTGGCCCAGCTGCTTGAAAAACACACTGGACTGCGTGTGTGTGTGTGTATGTGTGTGTGTGTGTGTGTGTGTGTCCCCCAAATTCTGACAGGATAGAGAAAAGGAGCAGTAACTGCAGTTTGACCTGGTGGGAGGTACTTTTCCTCTCTCTCTCTCTCTCTCTCTGTCTCTCTCTCTCTCTCTCTGGTGAGCACGTGCCCTCTGGCAATTAATAAAAGAAATAAATAAATAATAGTTTCTCGGGGCTGGCAGGTGACATGGTGGTTAAGGGCACTGGACTCCCATATGACTAACCGTGGTTTGAGTCCTGGACCTGGCAGCTTGCTTGTGCGCAAGTGCTCTCTCTCTCGCACGTGCACACACGCACGCACACACACACACACACACACACACACACACTCTGTCCCTCTCTGATCAAATTAAAAGAAATAAAGTTCATTAAAATAATTCTTCAAAAAGATATAGTAGTGGAAGAAGACTCCTCCATGGCTCCTGAGAACTAGTGATTTCTGGGAAAAAAGGGATATGAAGATCTTCTACTGATAATTCAGCCTCCAGCCCCCAAACTAGAGTGATAGGGAGCCCCTCTAGCCTTCTCTCTGTCTCTGTCTTCTCATTTATTCTTTTTTCTTTTTAAATTTTTTGGTTGTTTTTAATTTTTTTCCTTCTTTTTCTCTGTTTCTCTCTTTTTTTTTGATGGTTTGTTTCTCTCTCTCTGTTTCCGTTTCTTTTATCACTCTGCTCCTCAATTTCCATGCACTGTGTTTCTAGATGGATCTAAGGGAACCATAGCCAAACATCCAAATACTAGGTGCTAGGGATTAAACATTTTCCTTGCTCTAATGAGGTGTAGGGTTAACATAGTCTTCAATATCCAGTGATTCTGCTGCACACAGGGATAAAAAGAGAACAGCAAGGAGATTCCAGATTACTTCCTTCTGCATGCTCCTGAACGCTCAGATTGAACTTCCAAGAATTAGGAAGAAACACACCATCCATCAGATGACTAGAAATCACCACAGGGCCACAAAAAATATGGGAAAGCAAGAAGATAACTCTCCTCCAAGAGAAAAGAATAATTCCTCTTCATCCTCAGACAGTTCAATGGAAACCATGGAAATGTCTGATAAACAATTCAGAATATTCATAATGACAAAGCTAATAGAGACAGAAGAGAAGAGAGACAATGAACTGTGGAAGAGGCAGGAAAAAGGAGTTGAAGAGTTCCAGAGGGTGAGGAAATTCTTGCAAGATCTAAAAGAGAATTACACACTTTAAAAAAGGATCAAATGGACCTATTAGAGATGAAGGCTATAATACAGGAAGTCAAAATCTCCCTTGAAAGTATTAAAAGCAGACTAGGTCATAAAGAAAATAGAATCTCAGATGTAGAAGAAAAAATTGCTGGCCTAGAACAATCCACCACAAAGACTAAGAAAATGGCCCCCCAAAATGAGCATATACAAGAAATACTAGATACCATCAAACATCCAAACATCCAGATAATTGGTATCCCAGAGGGTGAAGAGACTCATAAGGTCATTCGCTGATAATCTATTCCATGAAATCTTGCAAGAAAACTTTCCAAACCTAGAGAGGCACTTGAAGATCCAGTCCCAAGAAATACAAAGGACCCCAAATAGAATCAACCCAAGAAGATCTTCTCCAAGACACATTATAGCCAGACTGACCAAAACCACAAAGACAAGATACTAAGAATGGCAAGAGAAAAATGGAAAATTACCTACAAAGGATATCCCATCAGGCTAACAGCAGACCTCTCACCAGAAACAATGTGAATGAGGAAAGAATGGGAAAATATATTCAAAGTGTTAAGGGAAAAGCAATTTCAACCAATAATACTGTACCCAACAAGATTATCCATCACATCATATGG